AATCCTAAAGCTGGGAAGCCCAGACAGGAGGACCCCTGGGGCTCACTGGCCAGCCAGCCTTGCCTGACCAGCAAGCTCCAGGCCAGTGAGACCTCAAAATAAGTGACAACACTGGAGGTTGTTCTCTGGTCTCCACATACATGCATTTTTACACACAAGCACACACGTACCACACAAACACCTGTGCATGCACACAGGCATGCACATATCCACACATGCACACATACCATATCCACACATGCGCATACGTGCACACACATCCACATGCATATCCACACATATCCACTATACACCCCCCACACACACACATGCATGCATGCACATACACATGCTCCAATGCACAGAATAACCAAAGCACTCATGCATTAAACTTCATGTGTTCCATGAAGAACCTCCTGATGCAAGGAGAGCTGGCAGCTGGGACACCGCAGCCCCTGCGGCCAAGCAGAACAGAGTTAGTTCATCTTTGGAAGAGTACCGTTCTCAGGTTTCATGCTCTCCACTTGAATTAAAGACGTTCCCATCATGCACCACCTGCAGGACAGGGATAAGCTGGGGTGAAGTCACATCAAAACATCTACATTCCAGAAAGTCTGGTGAGAACCACGCGGTCCAAGCCAGGAAGAGGGACTAGCCATCATCTGCAATTCATTCATAAATTGCCAGCACGCTCCAGACAACCTTCAAGTGAAACAGGGCACTTGTTTAAGCAGTTATTGACTTGAGCCACAGCTCAGCAAAGTTTTATAGTACACGGCTGCGATTCACCGAAACTGTATCCACAAAGGAACAACTAACTAATTAGAAATGTCAGAAATAGCTTCTGATTGAAAAAGAAATTTCAGGTCCACCCTGACCCCTGAGCTGTGGCCATTAAATCAGGACAATAGATATAAAAACATTTGCTTAAAATAGTTCTCAGCAACTGGTGTTCCAGTATTCTTCCTTAAATGCGTGTTTAGCCCCGAACCTCCTTTCTTCCAAGAAACTGTTGGCTGAACAATCCTATAGCTGTTCTTACAAGACAGAAAAAAAAGCTATTTTAAGATGTTGTATTTTGAGCCCTTTGACTTTTTTTTAAACCTTTAATGGCTTTGTGCTTTAGTAATAACTTTCAGATTAGGTAAGCACTTCCTACCCCTCCCCTCAAGGGTTTCTCTGAACCAAATGAAGAGGACCTTCAAAATCACAGGAACCAAAGGGCTTCCTGATGTTCTACAGGCTTAGTGGACTCCAGCCCTTCTCAAAAGCGAGTTTAGTCAAAATGCCTCAGCAAAAATATCTGCTCCACGGCAAGCATGAAGACTAGCGTGGCATGATGGCCTCAAGGGACAAGGATGAGGGGCTGAGTGTGGGGCTGCTGGAAAGCATCACTTTACATGAGATACTCTTTTTAATGTGCTCATTCCTGTGTGTGAGTGCAAGTGTGTGTGTGTGGGGGGGGGTAGATGTGTACATATGCATGCATGGACATGGGGGGACCAAAGAAAAATCTTGGGTGTCATTCTCAGAAAAGTCATCTACCTCCTTTGAGACAAGGTCTCTCATTGGTCTGGAGCATACCCATTTAGGGCTAGGTTGGCTGGCTAGAAAATCCTGGGGATCCATCTGTCTCCTCCCTGGCACTGAGATTACAAGAATATACCACTATATCTGGTGTTTCTTCATGGGTTCTGGGGATCACACTCAGGTACCCCACTTACAGAGGCAAGTACTTTACCAATTAAGTTATCTGGCCAATCCCATAATGATATTAATAATTAGGGAGTAGTCACAGGAAGGGAATGGCATTTTTGTGTGCGTGATCAAAGAATGGAGTAGATTCAAAGACAGTGGCTGCTGTGGGATGTCGCTGAGAATAGAAGCACGTCAGGTTAGTGAGCTGTATAGTCAGTCATCTAAGCACTGTACACATTCATTCTGCTAAGATTGAAAAGATACTTTGTGACCCACCATTCCGGAGTGATCCTGAGCCTCAGAGATCTGCCATAACTGTTCCACATCAACCCTAACAACGTTCCTGGAGAGGAGACCGCCTAAGCTTGCGTGTTAATTTCTCTTCCTGCTGCTGGGGCTGAATGCCTGATAATTAAAACCTATGGGAAGGGGGATTGATTTTGGCTCACAGCTGTGGAGGAATTTCAGGCTATCTCACAGGGAGGGCAGGGTGGAGGCATGGTCAAATCATGGTCAATTATAACTCTGATGGCTCTCCTCTAGAGATCTACTTGTACCACCACCAAGGCCCCATTTTTAAAGGCTCCAAAATAGTGTCACAAGCTGGGGGCAAGCTTTGAAAACAGGAGGCCCTGAGAGACATCTGAGATCCTAAATTTTAGCACCCTGAAACCCAGGGATTTCTCTTGCTTCTTGGCTGCTCTGCAGGGGAGTTGAGGCCAGGCATTCCCCAGAGAAAACAACGCCTGCCTGTATTGTCACATAGGTCCTCACAGTAGAGGGGCAGTCTAGGTGGAAGGTGCGATGAATTAAAGATAACTATAAAACCGCTGCTTTGTGTCCCATGAAAAGAGAAATCTGTGGTCCACCCCTCTGAATGAGGGCCGGTCCTGGGCTTACTGTGACCGAGAGCAGCAGCAGTGGCAGAAGTAAAACTGTGGGACACCCAAGGCCACGTCTTTTGAGAGCTGGGGCTTCTGTTTATGTGGCTCGGAACCCTCCTTCTGAGAAAAGAACTGTGTAAGAAGGCACAGCAAGGAAGCAGCTGCTCCTACCTTCATCAGCAGCCAACAGGAGCTCTCTGGGGAGTTCTGGTAGATGCTGCAGCCCATTCACAATGAAAGAAGAACTTGCCGGCTCCACCTAGGTGGCCCCAGAATCATGAAAGCTGTAAGTGGTGGGGCCAGACATAAGGGCCCGCAGCTGTAATCCTAGAACTCAGGGAAGTGAGGCAGGATCACTACAAGTTTGAGATGAGCCTAGACTACCTAGTGATGCCAGGACAGCAGAGTGAGATGCTATCCGAAAAAGAAACAAAGGAAATTAGTAGTGCTGCTGGTTGTCTTAACTTACCACATTTTGGGTTACTTTGTTCCATATCAATGGATAAGAAGTGCTAGAGCATTTTATTTACAACACACACACACACACACACACACACACACACACACACACACACACACACACTCTCCCTCTTGCACAGGAAGATCTCAAAGGTTTTCATGCGTGGTACACCTGGTGTGATGTGGCTAGGCGAGGGTCTACCACTAGTGAGATCTTTATCTTCATTTTCGGGAAGAGAGCCGTATGTCTTTTTGTTAGATGTTTAGAGGGAGTATTTGTGGCCCTCACTGGAACACAGTAAGTTTGTTTCTTGCTACAGTGTTCTTGGAACATATTCATTTGTGAACATACAATTGCTTAGGTTTTCATGTACCTAATGATCCAAGGATGCGGGAAGGCAGAGTCTGTCAGTTAGTACCCAATGAGCTAAAATCAGTGGGGAAAAAAACAGAAGCAATACCTTTCTCACATCCAGTGTACACAAAGTGTCTTTGCAGGTGAACAGGGCACACTGAGTGTTTTTAGAACTCCTGAGCCTTTCTCCTTCACATTATAGGAGTGCTAAGTGCAACACCATGAAGTTTCTATCACCTTACTTTAGGACTTAGGTGGAAGGTAAATGTTTTGTCCACTGGTGGGTTTCATGTCTCCATATTCACACGGATGGTCATTCTGCAATGGGTTTGTCTGGAAAGGCAGCTAATCCTAATATGTTCTCACACACGGATACCAGTGTATGTGGTCTCGAAGCTGTTGAGCTTCCTAAAGTTAGGAGAGCAAATTGTCTTCACCCATGATGCTTTCTTCCTGACATCCTCCAATAAACAGGTAACAGCTGTTCTTCAAGTTGGTCAGGTCATTTTTAGCCTCACCTTTTGCAAAGGGCAGCATAGCTTCAAGCTGCTGGGAAATGCAAGTCCTTCATCAAGCATAGAGGCTGAGAAGTCCCACATCCATTGCACCTGATGGAAAGGTTTCTTATTCTACTATGGGGCTCATGGCCTGGAGCTGCAGGGATACCTTTCTCAAGTGTGCTCCAGTAGCTCTCTAAAACCATGTTTGCTCTGGATGTGCTCCCACAGATCCCAGGATCCTGTGCTTCAGGCAGACAGGCTGCCCTCACTACAGCCGCTCCACTGAATCAGACCTCCAACTAGTTCTGGAACTCTGGCTTTGCAAAGGACCCTCATTTCGGGTGGTTCAGAGGGGCGCGGCGAGAGTATAGCTCTTTCTTTCTTGCAAGAGCTAAAGCCCAACCCGACTTTTTCAAAGGGTTAGAGGAGATGAGTCTCAGACACCTCGGAGGACAGAATGTCTATTTCTGCAGGTTCCTTAAGGCAACAGAGGAAGCTCCTCGGCCGCGGGAGTCGAGTTAATGAGCAGGTTATACAATATTCATTGTGTTGCGTTTAACTCTTCAAACAGAACGTCTAATTGCAAGAAGGAACAAAAGGAGTGAAATTACAGGCGTTAAGACAACAAAGCTGAAGGAGGACCCCTCTGTTGATAACCTGCCCGTCCGCTGCTTCCTGCGCCAACTGCACACTGACAGAAGGCGCAGTGGTCCCCGGCCTCATCAGGAATTCTTATTAGCTCGGTGGTGACTAAGACACTCTGTGATGCCACTGAGGGGCGGTTTTCCTGTCCCCTGCAGAAAGAGAGATTCGGGTAGATTCCACTTGAACCAAGACATAGCTGTTCACCTGTGGCTTTCTTCCTCTTCTTCCTCTTCTTCCTCTTCTTCCTCTTCTTCCTCCTCTTCTTCTTCTTCTTCTTCTTCTTCTTCTTCTTCTTCTTCTTCTTCTTCTTCTTCTTCTTCTTCTTCTTCTTCGTTTTTTTCAATACATGGTTTCTCTGTTTAGCTTTGGAGTCTGTCCTGGATCTCGCTCTGTAGACCAGGCTGGCCTCGAACTCTGTGAGTTCAGGAGCCTCTGCCTCTTGAGCGCTGGTATTAAAGGTGTGCACCACCATTGCCCGGCTCACCTGTCTTCTTGACATGCACTCTCCCCTCCATCGTCCCTGGCAATAGCACCTGCAGTACATTCACCAAAGGACCCTTCCTGTCCACTGGTGGCAATACCGGCAACACAGATAGCAAAGTCCAGCAGCCAGGGTCAGAGCCAGGGTGGCTGACAGGCAAATCGGGGTTCCTACCTGAGCAGTCCTGAGCTGGGTCTCCAGGTGGGCACCGGTTTCCTCTAGCTTCACTCCAGGTCTTACGCTGGCCTTGCTAAGGTATCCCACACCACTCTCTGCAGTTTCCTCTTCCAGTCCGTATTCCCTGTGCTCATATAAGAAGCTGACAGAGGGTCTGGATGCATCTGATGGGCTCCTGGATGTGCCAAGGGGATGGAAGTCAGGGGTTGGATTGGTTACCTCAGCCCCATTCCCAATGAAGGTTCAGGAGACCAGAAATGCTGAGGCTTGGAAATATAAGCAGTGTACAGAGCGGGCCCCATCACGGACCTTTAGAGACTGTCATATTGGCCTGCAAAAGAAAAATGAAGTCAAAGGAGCTGGTCTTCGCCTGATTTACAACTAGACTTGCAACTCGAGTTCCATAAAGACTCCCAGCAGCAGTTGAAAAGCTAGCCTCTCGCTTGCTGAAGAAGAATCAGAGTAAAGGACTAAGTAGGTAAGTATGCATCTGTAATTGATAGGGATGGGGTAGCTGTGAAAAACCCACTAGAGCATAGGGGCTACTTGCAAGGACAAATTTGGGTCTTTGAAGAGGCTTCCAAACCCAAGCAGAGGGTTATATCATTTCTGGTGACTATGAGCATTGAAGATACCTGCTTGTGGTAGGCCACAGCAGGGAGGACCGTTTATCCTTACCGTAGGTCCCAGTAATGTTAAGTGAGAATATTATACCATGTTTTAGTTTGAGACATTTGACTTCTGAGATGGCAAAGGGGAAGTAAGTCATGGGGTACGTGCTTTACATTGACCATTGATCTGGTACCACACACAGTATTTGGAGGCCAGTGTTATAAAAAGGGGAAGGAGGAGAAGGGAAAAAAGAAATTATTAAGCAAAGCTAAGTGGGAAAACAAAACACTGAAACCATCAATTTTCTACAATCGCCAATAACTTCAGAGACACTGCAGACGCTGGAAAGCTGGTATTGATCAGGACGAGGACACTCTGCATCCTACACTTGCTTTCTCTCTGGCTTCAGCTGCTCATCCATTAACCCTTTCCCAGCTGACACTTCCAGCTCTAGGGCCAAGTTACCAGGCCTCGTTCCCTGCCCACCATGCTCACTCTTTTTTTTTAATTTTATAATTAATTTAATTTTGCATATCAGCCACAGATTCCCTTGTCCTCCCTCCTCCCACCCCACACCCGCCCTCCCCCCAGTCCACCCCGCATTCCCATCTCCTCCAAGGCAAGGACTACCCTGGGGATTCAGCTCAGCCTGGTAGATTCAGTTGAGGCAGGTCCAGTCCCCTCCTCCCTTCATCCAGGCTGAGCAAAGTGTCCCAGCATAGGCTCCAGGCTCCAAAAACCCAGCTCATGCACCAAGGACAGGTCCCAGTCCCACTGCCTGGGGACCTCCTAAATAGTTCAAGCTAATCAACTGTCTCACTTATCCAGAGGGCCTGATCCAGTTCCATGGGGGCTCCTCAGCTATTGATTTATAGTTCATGTGTTTCCACTAGTTTGGCTATTTGTCCCTGTGCTTTTTCCAATCATGGTCTCGATCTCTTGCTCATATAATCCCTCCTCTTTCTTGCCGATTGGACTCCTGGAGCTCCACCTGGGACTTGACCATGGATCTCTGCATCTGCTTCCATCAGTCACTGGATGAGAGTTCTATCATGACAGTTAGGGTGTTCGACCATCCAATCACCAGAGTAGGTCAGTTTGGGCACTCTCTCAACCATTGCCACTAGTCTATAGTGGAGGTATCTTTGTGGATTTCTGGGGACCTCTCTAGCACTTTGATTCTTCCTATTCCCATGGGGTCTTCATTTATCATGGTACCTCTTTCCTTGTTCTCCCTCTTTGTTCTTGATCCAGCTGGGATCTCCTGCTTCTCTAAACTCTCTTTCCCCTGATCCTTGCCCTTCATTACCCGCCCCCCTCACATCCAGTTTGCTCATGTAGATCTCATCCATTTCTCTGTCATTGGGCGATCCCTGTATCTTTCTTAGGGTCCTCCATGCTCACTCTTACCTGTTAATCCTTATCCAAGGGCAGTCAAGTTTCCGAAGAATCAAAGCTTAGATCATCCTGAGCCCTAAAGGGGGGACTTGAAGGCGTGAAAGGGGTCATAACATATCTGAAGTGGAAAGCTGTTTTCTGTTGCTGCTGTGTGTTTTAGTGGAAGGAGATTTCCCTGGAATAAATCCCGAGTTACCAGAAAGGAGAGCTGGGGGAAAGGTATGAGAGAGTAGCAAAGAACTCATGAGTACTGCCTTTTGTTTAGTACTTAATACAAAAGTATACATTTACATTTGATATTAAAAGTATATTTCAGATGGTAAGTGTATTTTATGTATTGCACACATCTCAGCATTCTTTTCCCCGAGTTATTATCATACCTAGCTCTTCTAACCAGCATCTCTGCTTCTATGAAAATACATCATACACCTAAGGGCAAATTTGGCCACCACCTTTTTTTTGTCAGACTCCTAAACACCCAAGTGATTAGTACTGTCCAACTCAGTGGCTCACTCCATCAACTTTTACCTATGGTGGGTGCTTGGGATGGAAACAAAGCTGTATAGGGAGCCTTCTCTGAGGGTCACAAGCCTCTCTAACCTGTGGACATCCAGGGATGGTTATAAGGTTGGGTTGCTCCATCTTCCGGGTTGCTGGCCACTGCCGCTTCCAGTAGATGTGTGTGAAGATGACTGAGACAGAGTCTCTGCATCCCCAGGGAATGTTGTCACCCTAATGCTGGCAGGAGCAGTGTCTAGGATGCTCTCATCTTCAGCTCTTGTAAGGACAAAAGTAAGACTTCTGAGAATGTCTGTATTAGAGATAAAGGGGCACTGGGGATCAAGCAGAGAACTGAAGATACCCTGGAGAGACAGAGAGGGCATTTTGTCTGGTATTGGCTGGTACAAACATGTAGCATGAATCTTAAAAGTTCTTATTAATAAAATCAAACCTGGGGCCAGGCCGAAACTTCTCCTTAGCAAGCCTCCTAGGCTGACCTCAAACTTGGGATCCTCCTTCCTCTGCCTCCTTCAGTAAATCCAACCAGTGTGCTTCACCACAACTGACTGAGGGTAGCACGGGTCTGAGCAGGAGCCCACCAGGCAAGCAGCTTTTTCATGAATTCATACCACGAACTTTGGGCGCCAGATGTAGCATGAATCTTAAAAATTCTTATTAATAAAATCAAACCAGGGGCCAGTTATTGGGGTGAAATGCTGGATGGTCAGAGAGACAGAACAAGCCACAGCTAACCTCACCTGGCCAACTTCTTAGCTGGTCTTGTTTCCTCAGACTGGAAGCTTCTGTGTCCTCATCCCAATGGCTCTCAGCTGAACTGTGCTACTCAAAACCTAAAAGCTTAACCAGCCAAATGCCTCTAGTTTCTGGTCCTCATGCCTTATATACCTTTCTGCTTTCTAGCACCACTCCCTGGGATTAAAGGCTCGCTTTCTGGGATTAAAGGCGTGTGTCACCATGCCTGGCCGTTTCCAAAGTGGCCTTGAACTCACAGAGATCCAGAGGGATTTCTACCTCTGGAATGCTAGGATTAAAGGTGTGAGTGCCACCATTTTCTAGCCTCTGTATCTAGTGGCTGTTCTGTCTCTGACCCCAGATAAGTTTATTAGGGTGCACAATATTTTCGGGAACACAATACCACCACACAAACAACTATGATAACAGAGTATAGTGGAGACTCTAATGTGCTTTCAGGATGGTCATGAATGAGAGTCATTAAGAAGTGTCAACATTCAAACAATTGCCACATTAGTATAAACCCTGACAAGGTACCAAAGCACCTATTTCTTGCATCTTTTTAAGAGGAAGTCTCTTGCCTTTCTGGACTTGTGCAGGGAGTACAGGGAGCACTGGACCACTCCCTACCAAGACCTCCCAGCAAGAGACTGAAAATCATACTGGGCAGGAAGGGATAAAGAAAGAACAGTCGCCGGGCGGTGGTGGTGCACGCCTTTAATCCCAGCACTCGGGAGGCAGAGCCAGGCGGATCTCTGTGAGTTCGAGGCCAGCCTGGGCTACCAAGTGAGTTCCAGGAAAGGCGCAAAGCTACACAGAGAAACCCTGTCTCGAAAAACCAAAAAAAAAAAAAAAGAACAGTCACAGGACACATGAACAGAACAGCTGAGATCAGGTGGGCTGTTTTCCCTCTGACAGAGGGCACCAACCTCAGAACGTGTATTATGGGTAGCACAAGGTAAGAAATTTAGCTGGTCTCTGAAAACAGCAGGGAGGAGGTGGATATACATGCTAGTTTTGCACACATTGCTCAATGTTCATAAACATTTGTTTTTGCACACCACCATCAACAGTGACATTCCAACCATGTCTTCTAACAATACACATTCACTCAAGGCTTTCTCAGCTCCCCACAATTCCCTGTGAATTAGGAGAAAAGTACAACCCTGAAAATCAGATTAAAAAAAGGGCTTAGAACTTTCTGCCATAATATTAACACTGAGTTTCCCTTGTGGCAATAATGACTTCAGCATCTCCCTGTGTAGAGACAAAATCACTCCCTTCTGCTGTCTGACTTTCCATTGGCATCTAGCTAATGCTGTTGGGCAAATGGAGGGTTACTGGCTACCCTTTCAAATGTGAGGGCCCAGAGTAACAGAAACAGGGCAGGGAATGTGCAAGAACAAACTGCAGACAGAGATTATTGTTTGGATTCAAGCTCCATGCAGCCATTCCCGACCTTGGACAAGTGTCCTAGACAACTAGTTGTTTTTCTTTGCTTTATTTAAAAAGACTTCTTTTATTTAAGTGCATGTATGTGTGTAGGAGAGTTATATGTACATGCATGCTGGTGCCTGCTGACTCCAGAGGTGACGTATCCCCTGGATCCTGGAGACAGAGTTAGAAGGGGTAGTGAGGGCTAGAAACCAAACCTGTCTTCTGCAACAGCCACACACACTCCTAACTGCTGAACCGTATCTCTAGCCCTGATCATTAGTTTATTTGCAAAATGGGGCCAGTAACAGTAACATTTGAGGAGCAAAGTCAGATTAAAGATGTTGAAGCAAAAGAGAAGCATGGTTCTTGGCACACAGGCAGCAGGCATGGAAGGTCAACTGCAGTGATGACTAAAGTGACAAGCAGTGTTCTCGCAGAGTTGGTACAAGTGTCTTGGGCATTGCACAGCACTCTGAAAGATGAGGAAAACAGCATCCTAGCCCAGACACATAGTAAATGGACAGTCTGGAATTCCTGCCTGGACGCTTGTGCACAGGGTATTTCCCATAGGCCCACTACACAATACAATTGCTGTAGTGGCTAGAGACACAGAAATGAGCAGATCTAGAATTTTCTCTAAACCCACAATCTAGGAAGAGAAATCCTTGTGTGACCAATCTTAAAAATTTGATAGGATGAATGCTGGGTGGTGGTGGTACACACCTTTAATCCCAGCACTTGATAGGCAGAGCCAGGTTGATCTTTGTAAGTTTGAGGCCAGCCTGGTATACAGAGCAAGATCCAGGATAGGCACCAAAACTATACAGAGAAACCCTGTCTTGAAAAAACAAAACAACAACAACAACAAAAAATTGATAAGATGAGCAGAGCTCAAGAACAAATAGCCTTCCTGCTGCGGTAGTGTGAACAAACCCCTGTTGTTGATGGTCTTTTGCTCTTTTGGGGGCCCACCACCCAGCTCCCAAATAAATTACACACAGAGACTTATTATTACTTATAAATGCCCAGCCTTAGCTTCGATTGTTTCTTGCCAACTTTTCTTAACTTTAAATTATCCCATCTACCTTTTGCCTCTGGGCTTTTCCCTTTCTTTATTTCTGTATACTTTTCTTTGTTTCTTACTCTTTGTCTGTCCATGTAGCTGGGTGGCTGGCCCCTGATGTCCTCCTCCTCCTCTTGCTCTGTCTTCATTTTTCCCAGATTTCTCCTATATATTCTCTCTGCCTGCCAACCCCGCCTATCCTTGCTCTTGCCTTGCTATTAGCCAGTTCTTTATTAGACCATCAGGTGTTTTAGACAGGCACAGTAACACAGCTTCACAGACTTAAACAAATGCAACATAAACAAAAGTAACACACCTTAAAATAATATTCCCCAATATTTCCCCCTTTTGTCTAAATAAAAAGAAAGGTTTTTAACTTTAACATAATAAAACTATACACAACAAAAACAGTTATCAAGTAAGAATTAATTTACAATATTCTATTTGTAGTTAGCGTACTCAGAGAAAATAATGCATTATCTATCCTATCTTCATGAATCAAAAATTTTACACACCTAATTTACTTTCTATCATAACTAAGGAAAATGGCAACTATAACTATCTAGTCTTCAACTCCAGCAAAGACCCAGAAGGATTTAATATTGTCTTACAACAGAGACATTTGGCTGTCTACACAGTCAAAGTTCCTCTGCAACATTGGGGCATCCATCTTCAGCCTACAGGCCCAGAATATCTGGCAGACTCTTCTGTGAAGCAGGAAATTTGAAGGACTGTCTTGCCTTATTTTGTCAAAGTTCATCAGTCTTTTTCCTGTGTGTCCTGCATGTCCAGTCTGCACAGCACCTTGTCAGCAGTCAAAGGTAAGAGTAGTTTCATTGCCCAGTGGCTAATCTTGCCACAATGAAAGCAAATTCCATAAGGAGTTTCTTCAGTGCCCATCTTCTCTGAAGTAAATTAGTGCTGCCAGGAGCAGATGTGTCTCATTATCATGAAAAACCTTAAGTTAACCAAACATTTTAAATGCCATATTCTATAGGTCTTTAAAGTATTTGAAAACCATCTATCTAAAATATATCTATTTAACCTAGAAAACATACTTAACATATCTATAAATTTGATTGTTATAAATGACTAACCACTGACCTATGTTAATTGATTGACCTATATAGTTTATAATAATAGCTCTCAAAAACTAGAACTTTACCTTACATTTTTAAATGAATGACATAAGTATAATACTTTAAACAAGAGTAGAAACGTATAGATAATATGTTGTAACAAAAACAACCTTCAATTTGTATCAATACACAAAAAAATCCTTGAAACAAGGGTAGAAGCATATATACAGTGTAACAAAAATAACTTTAAATTTGTATCAATACACTATATTTCCCTAAATGATAACAAACATCCATAACCCACCAAATAACCAAAAGTCTCTCACACCCCTCTTGGGAATGTGGACATTGTGTTCTCCAAACTGCTTCCTGCTGTCTGTGAACAAAGTATCTTTAGGGTCTTGGACAGAAAATTTTGAGATAAGGGCCAAGTCCTGGGAGGACCAGCAGTAACCTTTACTGATAGATATTACCTGTCAAGTTTCAGGAGGTCTCACCTGATCACACTTGATTCATAGTAACCCTGTGGGAACAAAACTCAAAAGCATTTTTTATTTCCAATTTGACAAATATATTTTTTGACTTTTTACAAGTTAAGGCATTCCTAAAGTATATAGGCTGATTCATTTCAACAGTCCCTCTTTCAATTCCAGGTCTCTTTGCACCTGTCTTTTGCTTTTTTTTTTTTTTTTTTTTTTTTTTTTTTTTTTGGTTTTTCGAGACAGGGTTTCTCTGTGTAGCTTTGCGCCTCTCCTGGAACTCACTTGGTAGCCCAGGTCAGCCTCGAACTCACAGAGATCCGCCTGGCTCTGCCTCCCGAGTGCTGGGATTAAAGGCGTGCGCCACCACCGCCCGGCCTGTCTTTTGCTTTTTTAACAATCAAAAAATCAAAATCAACTCAATAACATACAGGATCCAGACTCCCTGTATATTTTCCATCTTACATGGCTTTTTTTCTTTTGTATTAATTACTTTTACTCTCTCTTTAAAGACTTTATTATTATTTTTGAACTATTCATTTCTTTCTATGACTATATCCTTTTTTTCTCCTTAAGCCTACACACATTGTTAAACACACTGTAACCTGTTTAGAGGTGTTTCTGTCTGGACCTCTTTTATTGTGTATCTTCTGCCCTTTTTGACCATATGAGCAAACTTTGAACTGCTAACCTACACCTGGATCCTACACATGCAGCTCTCAGCTGGCTCCACCTGCTTCTTGGATTGTGAAAAACCAATTCTGAAACTTGAGGCCAGTCAGGTTTGTCTGACCAGGAACTGCATTCAATCTTCCTAGAGCTCTAGAATGTCAATGTGTGCACTGTGGCAGGCATTTTTACTTAGTTCTTTGTTCCTACTTAACATACTGGCTGCTCAAGGGATTGCTGGCAGACAGAAACTCTTAAATAAGCCATACTCTCTCTCTTTTTTTTTCTTCAAGCTTTCTCAGGCCCTACAGAAATTCAAGCACCATGTTGGTATGCCAATATGATGTTGGTTGTTTTGGGGGACCTGCCACCCAGCTCCCCAAAAAATCATACACAGAGACTTATCATTACTTATAAATGCCCAGCCTTAGCTTGACTTGTTTCTAGCCAGCTTTCCTTAACTTTAAATTATCCCATCTACCTTTTGCCTCTGGGCTTTTTCCTTTCTTTATTTCTGTACACCTTTCTTTGTTTCTTTTTCCATGGCTTGCTGTGTAGCTGGGTAGCTGGCCCCTGATGTCCTCCTCCTACTCTTGCTCCTTCTTTTTTCTCAGATTTCTCCTTCTTTTCATTTTCAGCTCTTTATTAGACCATCAGGTGTTTTAGACAGGCAAAGTAACACAGCTTCACAGACTTAAACAAATGCAACATAAACAAAAGTAACACACCTTAAAATAATATTCCCCAACACACCCCACCTCTCCAGCTCAATAGGAGTAAGAGGTGGAGCCAGTAGGTGGTAAGTGAGTCCCCCAGGGATTCATGCCCTTGTGAAAGAGGTCTGGGTAAGTGAGTTTACTCCTTCATCCATGGGAGGATGTGTAGAAGGAACTATCTGGCCCTTATCAGACATGGAAGTGATCTTGGACCTCTCAGCCTCTAGAACTGTGAGAAATACCCTTCTATTGTTTATAAATTACCCAGAACAAAGCATTGTGCTGTAGAAGCCTGAATGGACTATGACATTTGCCTACCAAGAAGAATAGGAAAGTTTCACCAAAGAGCCATTTGAAATCCATCTCAGAAGTCATACAGATCTTTTAGAAAGCAGCCTAGTTAGGGATTGTCAGAGGGAAGGCACAACACACAATGTTGATCATACCCAATGGGGAGGGACAGGCCCCCAAAGTGTCCCGGGGGGCTGTGTGGGCAGATATGTTTCAGAAACACATCCACTCTTTCCCAGTTTCAAAAAGTTATAACTTTTACCTACAAAAATCTTATTAAAGAATTTGTTTCACTTATACCTGCTAGCACACCCACGAACACAGTCCTTTGTCTTGGAAGTCACTAGAGGCAGGACTATGAGTGGGGGGATGGGTGGCACCGTGTCACCCTGTTGACTACTCAGGCTGGCACCTAACACTACAGCGTAGTTCCAGTCTGCCAGCATGTCAGGCAGACAACCAAGGGGACAGGATTCCCACATGGAGGTGTGGTGTTTCTTCTAAAGTCTCACTCTCACTTTGTCCCTGTTAAAGCAGACCTGGTTAGGTTACAAGTTGTTATTGGTAATGGTCAGGAAAAATACTGAACAAAGGAGATTAGATTCAGGGATCTTGTTCTAAAAAAATGGAGGGGGGGATATAGAAATAGGATAAAAGGGTAGATTGTTGAATCTACTTTAATCCAAAAAAGTAACTATTAATCTTACATATTTTACATTGGTATGGATTTTTATATATTGATACAAATTTAGGATTATTTTTGTTATACTGTGTATATGTTTCTATTTCTGTTTAAGATATTTTTGTATATCTTATAGTTATGTTAGTTATGTTTTCTAGGTATACAGAGATATATTTCAGATAGATAAATGGTCTTCAAACACTTCAAAGACCTACAGAATATAGCATTTAATATGTTTAATAACCTGAGGCTTTTTAGGATCATGAGAAATGTCTGCTCCTAGCAGCACTGATCTACTTAAAAGAAGATGATAAGTATGGTGGTATTTTATTTGTACTGAAATGTGATTTTAATTGTACATTAATAAATAAAGTTGCCCGGGGGTCAGAGCTATTAGAGCCATAGCAAAAGCTGGGCAGTGGTGGCGTACGTTTGTAATCCCAGCACTTGGTAGGCAGAGCTAGGTAGATCTCTGTGTGTTCAGAGATACAGCCAGCATTGGAGACACACGCCTTCAATCTCAATACCAACCATAGAAGACCTGGAGGTCTATACAGACAGGCAGTGACGAGGTGGTCATGTGGTTGGGTTTACAACCAATGAGAAGGCAGAACTGAAAGTCTTTATAAAGACTTTAACACAGGAAGTAGCTCTCTTTCTTGGCTGAAGAGGCTAGCTTCAGCAGGAAGGGTAAGGCTCTTAGCTCTGATCTCTTGGCTTTCTTCTTTGCATTGGTTCTGTGTTTCTTATTTAATAAGACGGTTGGTTATATCTACAGATAAGTATTGAAGAACCTCCCTATGGTGTTTGCTTTCTTTCTTGCAAAAGCTAGCCGCTGGGCAAAGAAACTTCCCTTGCCTCAATTGCTGACAATATACCATCCAAACTGGATTAGCAGGATGCAAGAAAAGTGACTGCTGAACTTTGCCAATGCAAGGTAGGACAGTCCTTCAGAATTCCCTACTTTACAGGAAAGTCTGTCAGATATACTAGGTCTGTAGGCCAGAGCTGGATGCCCCAATGTTACAGAAAAACCTAGGGTAACTGTCCAGGTAGCCAGATGTCCCTGTTGTTGGGTAACATTTTACCTTCTGGGGTCTTTGATCAAGTTAAAGACTAAATAGTTAAATTTGTATTTTTTCTTAGTTATGATAAAAAGTAAATTAGGTATAAAACTTTAGACTCACAAAGATAAGATTGGTAATAGAGTATTTTCTCTAAAATTTCCAAATGCAAATGGACTGGATATTGTATTGTATAATTCTTACTTAATAACTGTTTCATCGTATTTGATTTTACTATGTTAAAGTTAAAACCTTCCTTTTTAATTAGACAAAAAGGGGGCAATGACGTGGAATAATCTTTCTGTACACTGTAAATATGTATTGCTCTAATTGTGAATAAAAAGCTGATTGGCCAACAGCTGGGCAAGGTGAGATTGAGTGAGACATCCTGAGACAGAGAAAATCCTGGAATGAAGAAGGGCAGCATCAGAGGTGTCAAGAGCAGATGCAGGGAGAAACAAGATGAGTGTGCTGTACTGAGAAAAGGTACCAAGCCACGTGACAAAGCATAGATAAGAAATATGGGTTAATTTAAATCTGAGAGTTACCTAGTAACAAGCCTGAGCTATTGGCCAAGCATTTATAATTCATATTCAGCCTCTGAGTTGGTTATTTGAGAACTGGTGGACAGGAAAACTCTGCCTACATGGTTATACTTGGAATTGGAATGTAACATTTGCCTGACTTGTTGACTAAGATATGCCATTTTAAAGAGGTCAGGTTTGCAGGGTTTGCTCTAGCAAATGCTCTGTGTGGTCTTTGCTCTGTTTTTAGGAGTATCTTAGTGAGAAAAGCTGGAGGATCTGTGCTGATCAACAAAATCAGAAAGGTTTGGGGGCAAAAACAGGGAAAGGAGGATTGGCTGCTACTGATATTGTTAGGGTTTGTGAGAAGTCCCATAAAAGACCACCAGTCACATATGCAATCAACAAGAGTATTTAATAAAAAAAAATTCAAAAAAAAATTTCAGCATGCAGGGGTCAATCATCTGACAAAATGGTGACCTGAGAGCATCTCGCAGACTCCTTTTAAGCACAGCTAAGGGAATTCCAGCTGTGGTTAAGTGTACTTTGAAGTGATTGAATATAGACTCTTACTGGTACAGGAATCATTTTATGATTGGCTCATGACATCTGGTCAGCAACTGTGGTTGCAGTGTCAACAAGGATCTATTTGACTGAAAATAGCAAGAACAGTTCCTGGTTGTGGCCAGGTAGGACCCTGATTGGCTACCAGACTGGATGTACTTCCTAAGAGTCTGACTGAAGCCAGACATGAGTCAACATAGGACGGTGGGTTAATATGGGGCTGAGCAGTTTCCCCAGCCCTATTTTCTTTTTCAGATGGGGCATTGCTGTTGCACTATAGCTGAGCCCAAATTCCTGGGCTCAGCAATCCTCCTGCCGTAGCCACCTAGTAGGTGGGACCACAGGTGAATGCCACCCTACCCACCTTGTTCTGCCAACCTGCTAGAGAATATGGCACTGAGAGTGGGGACAGGAAAGTGACTGTTTGTCTATCTGCCTCTGCTCCTTCACTCTGTCTATCCCCTTCTCCTTTGCTACCCACACTTTTACAGAGGCCAGTTAAGATTCATCTGCACCAGAAAGAAGGGGAATATTACATTCCAGGACTGAGGATGATGGCCCAGGGAGGCTGGGGACAGGATTCTGCTCTGGCTACTCTCTCCACAGGCTTCCTAGTGTAGTCAGCCATGCGGACCCAGCACCTGTTCTAAAATGCAGATGTGGGAAGAGGAATCTGAAAGGGACTCTGCACCCCAAACTAAGTGGGCTTGGTTACTGAAGGGGTACACTGTGCTCTCTTACAGGAATCTAATGTCCCCCACAGGCTGGGCAGGGGCTTTCCACATGAAAAGAGCTTCCTTTTTGGGAACTTGTCAATGAGTGACAGTGTCTGCCTCTTCAGAACAACTCATCGGTTTAAAATGGCGAGGAGCGGAGACAAAGGTGCCAGCTGTCTGGTCATCAGCCACTGTGCATGCTTGCAGAAGGAACCCCATGAAGTCTTGACTGTTCTCACACACACTGCACCAGAAAGCAACAGTTCAGTATGGCAGGCTCTACTCAGTCCCACTGCTACTTCAAGACTAGGAGTGCAAGTCCACATCTTAAGAACCAGCAACTCATTAGTGGGGAAGACTGAACTCTCATTTTGTGCCAAAATAAATTCCATTTGCATAAAAAGGTGCATAAAGGGCTGGAAAGATGACTCAGTGGTGAAGGACAATTGCTGCTCTTGTGGCAGGGGTTCCATTCTCAACACTCATGTCAAACAGCTTAAAACAGCCTGTAACTCCAGTTGCAGAGGATCTGATGGCCTCTCTGGACTCATGGGCACCTGCAAACATGGGGTATAGTCACACACACACACACACACACACACACACACACACACACACACACACACGGGGGGGAAATATCTTTAAAAGATATGTAAAAATATACTAAAACCCCTACAAGCATTAGTTTTGTTTTCTTTTTAAAAAATATTGAAGTTAAGAATCTCTTTAAGCACAACTCATTTGCCATAACAGAAAAGCAAAATAAAACAGTGTTTTTTGTTTTGTTTTGCTTTTTCAGAATAATTTAGTTTTCATTTATTTATTTTTTATCACTTTATTGCAATCAACCCACACATGAAGACATCACGCAGCTAGTTAAAGGAAGTCATTGATACAGACACTTGCCTAGTACCACACTCTGCATCTCAGCAAAGTTCTATACAGTGAGATCAGCCATTCTAACGCCATAGAACTTAGCCTGGGGTTTTAAACTTTATCAATTTATTATGTTTTATGCACACACAAAAAGGAAAAAAATATAACATAGTTCAAACTAGAAAACCAATGAGAATAAAGTTTGTTATATTAAAAAAATGAAAGTAGATGAAATCAAAAGACAAACAATGGGCTAAGAAAACTATTTGTAACATATAAGGCACATAATATATAAGAAATAGCTGAAGACATATCTCAGAGGTAGAGTCTTTGCCTGGCTCATGATATGTATAGAGGTAGAGTGATTAGAGTTATTATACTTAAGAAAATTAATATACATATATACATATATAAGTATAAATATACAAAGTTTAATCTCCCCTAAATGATGAAATGGCATAAACAGAAAATATAATAAGCTCAGACACCATTTAAAAAGTATTTATGGGCCAAGAAGATGGCTCAGCAAATAAAGGTGCTTGCTGCTAAGCCTGATGACCTAAGTTTGACCCCTAGAACCTAAATGGTAGAAGAACCCACTCCTGCAAGTTGTCCTCTGACCTCCATACTCACACATGCATGCACTCAGACACACACACAAACGTAATAAAAAAAAAGTATTTATAAACAAGGTGCTATTTTTATCTATTATATAAGCAAATACTAAAATTGTGTTTTTTAAACTAAGATTGGCAGGACTATGGAAAAACTACAGTACTTGTTCACAAGCACTAGACCTCTAGAGGTTTTAACTCTCTACAGGTGAGTTAAAGACATCCTCCATACTTAAAATGAAGTTCTCTTTGATGCATGCTAGAACATCAACAGCCCTGAAAACAGAACTGAAGAAAGTCAGAAGCAAAAATGGCGTGTTATGTGATTTCACCTATGTGAGATACCTGGCCCACCCAAACTGAGGGACAGAAGGAAAGATCCAAGGTTATCAGGAGCTTTTTTGCTTGTTAGTTAGTTAGTTAGTTAGTTAGTTAGTTAGTTAGTTAGTTAGTTAGTTAGTTAGTTTTGAGAAGGCCAGGCAAATACCATGACAGGCTCCTAAAAATTCAGTTAAGAAGTAGGCCTTGACCAGGCGGTGGTGGTGCATGCCTTTAATCCCAGCACTTGGGAGGCAGAGCCAGGTGATCTCTGTGAGTTCGAGGCCAGCCTGGTCTACAGAGTGAGATCCAGGACAGGCACCAAAACTACACAGAGAAACCCTGTCTGAGGGGGAAAAAAAAAATAGTAGGTCTCATTTCCTACCTCTTGAAACTGAACACGCAGTTTCTGAGGAAGCCATGAGCCTAGGGCAACCATTCTTCCACTGTAGTAGTTCAAATTACTCAGGGTCAGAGAATCTGAGCTTGCTTTACCCAGCAGGGCTGCATAAGGAGATGATTTGGCCATGGGCGGGTTTACCAGGTGTTTAGAAGGGTCTACACTTGGCTGTATGGTGTGTTTTGATCTTGCAAAGGGGAGGTCTTTTGCCCCACCCCTTGGCATTGTTATAAAAAGCCCTTTTCAATAAACGATGAGGCTGTTGAGTAATGATCTAGGCCCTACCAAAGCTATCCTGTGTTTCTGTATTTCTCCTCATTGTCTAGGTCTCTCTTTTTATCTGATATTTTCTCTTCCGCTCTCCTCTCATAAGAACCCTTCAATAGGTGGGAGCAGGTCGGAGCTGGTCACCCAGCAGTCTCACACAAATGGCGCCCAGTGTGGCTTAGGTACAGAGGATAGAAGAGAGGGGGCACCACAGGCTGAGGGGGCATTTCCAGTAATGAATTAAAGGAGGCGGTGATATTTGTTCTTCAGGAGTAAAATTGTAAATATAAAGCAGAGTGGTTAAAATTAAGCTGCAGCAAGTAGTTAAAGTTAGGTTACAGCAAGTATCTCTCTCTGTCTCTGTTTCTTTCTCTCAATCTCTGTCTACTAAATTAGGTCCAAAAATGGTAGTATAAGTAAGTTATAAAAGTTTTGTAAAGTTTAGTTTGAGAAATGTAGACTTAAGTATATTAGGGTAGAATAGGCTTTAGGCATAGGGATATTGTGAAGACTTAGGTATAACAGAACTTAGGGTAGAGTAGTTTTTCCTCTGAGCCCAGACAGGATCTGGGACACAGAAAGTAGCATCCAGGACTGAGCAGACACTGTGAACCTGGCAGTCTGAGAATGAAAAGCCGCTTCAGAGACTGCCAGCTTCAGAAAGCAAGCAGCAGCAGAGTGTGAGCAACTGCTACAGCCAGGTGTCAGTGGCTGAGACCCTTGGGGCATCGTCTCAGAGGCAGCAGATAGCAGTCAATAACCAGTGTAGGCCAAGGGGTTCTTCATGCTTTCTGCCATGGTGGGGCCATGGCAAGGAGAGCACAGTCAGCCAGGGTGCTTGTGAGAGCCCTGGAGAGACATGGCTTGAGGCTACACTCAACCTTGGCAAGCCAATATGCTGCAACTGGAGAGGTAAATGGCAGGCAGTGGTGGCAGCTTGGAATGTAGCAGAGACTTTAGACCCCAGTGGCCTTGGAGCCCAGCAGAGATGCTGCAGGAGAGGCAACCTCAGTGAACAGTGGAAATCCTGCAGAGACAAGGCTGCTGCCCCAGGCAGAGAAGCAGCATCAGTGACTGCAGCAGAGGCCACAGCTGGATGAGCAGCTGAGACGTGCCCCTGCATGGAAAGTCAGGCCCACGAACTGCTGAGATGAGGCAGAGCTGAGCTCCAGGCTGAAAAGCTGAGACACTGGAAGCCAAGAGCAGCCTGAGCTCCCAGAGGCAGGATATGGCTGAGCATGGAATTGCCATGGGGGCATTATTCGGCCATACAAGAAGGGCAGTATGCAGAGGACCCCCAGCAAAGCAGGTAATGGAACCAAGGTACAGTGGCCACTACTGGCCGAGGCTGGGTTTCCTCCTGGACCTGAGGTGCTGCTTGAAAGCTGTAGGTCATAGCAGGGGGTGGCATTCAGGTATGCAGTGTGAAGTGCAAGAGAACCCTCAGGGTCTCAGGACACTGGGGTCCTGGGCAGATGGGCTGGTTATGGGAGGCACAGGCAGACTGGGACTGCGGAAGCTGAATGGAGCCAGCAGCAAAAACTGCAGTTTGTTTGCTAGTGGTTCATGCTGGCTGTATGAAGATGTCTTCCCCAGCTAGTTAGCAGCTTTTTTCCTGGAGCAGCTTTTGCCTAGGGGAAGGCTAACTGAAAGAGTCTTTGTAGCTGAGAGTGAGGCTTCAGAGATACTGGTTTGAACTGAATTATTGCAGTCAGTGGAACTCTAAGACTGGTATCAGAACTGACTTTTTGAACTTTTCAAACTTAAGAAATGGGATGGACATGAGTGATTCAATTGCAATGGGACGATTTTTATTTCACCTATGCATATAGTATATATACATTATTAACTATGACAACTTAAGAACTGTTTTATGGAATTGTTTTGTGTATGCATATGTGCTTTATTAACTGTGGTGACTCACAAACTATTTGGTGTAGAAATGGAACTGTGCGTGTAGAAATGAAGAAATTTGTTTTTTCTACCCAGGCTCAAGATGCAGCATAAAAAATTATAAAGAAAAGGGGAAGTTAATATTCCTCAGTCCCTTTAATTAAAAAAAAAATTTCTTGTTCTTTGAATGGGTTAATGTTAGCCTGTATTAATGTAACCTATGTTTTGTTAGCAAGAAATGTAAAAAGTTCTATTAAGAAATTGCTTTTGGATGTTTGCTAAAGTTTGTAAAGTATAAATAGTTCTATTAAGAGTTTACTTTTGAATGTCAGTTTGTGAGAATTGTAATTATGTATAGTAATATTCATGCTAGAATTATTATGTTAACCTGTTAATGGTGGTGCTAAGGAGTCCTTAGATTTGATGCAGTTGCATCAGGAGTTTATTGGTTTTTGAAAAAGGGCTTGGTGCAACTAAGACTGCTATAGATATCTTAGACCCTTTCAAAAAGGCCGTTCCATCTTTATCATTCTCTACTACTTTACTAGGAGGCCTAGCAGCCATAAGGAGCAGGAGTATTGCTATAATTACTACAGCTATTTGCAAGTTCTTGGAGGAAAAGTAGCTTCAGAGTTGCACATAGTTAAGCTCTGTACCCTCACTTTAAAAATTTATTTTATTAATAAGGGGGAGCCCAAATTACTCAGGGTCAGAGAATCTGAGCTTGCTTTACCCAGAAGGGCTGCATAAGGAGATGATTTGGCCACAGGCGGGTTTACCAGGTGTTTGGCTGTACAGTGTGCTTAATCTTGCAAGGGGGAGGTCTTTTGCATCTCCCCTTGGCATATTATAAAAAGCCCTTTTCAATAAAGGACAAGACTGTTGGGTATTGACCCAGCTCCTCCTGAAGCTATCTTGTGTTTCTGTCTTTCTTCTCACCATCTAGGTCTCTCTTTCTGATATTTTCTTATCCCTCTCTCCTCCACCTAAGAACCCTTCAAAAGGTGGGAGTAGGTTGGAGATGGACTCCCATGGACTCCCACATCCAATGTCCCTAACAACAAGGATGAGGGGAATTGCACATACCAGGGCTGAGCCAGTCCCCACAGACAGGAGCTCAAGGTAATAACTAAATAAGGACGGAGCCTGGAACTTGTCCAGGCTTGCCCCAAATGGGAAAACTGTAGCCTTAAAGAGCCCCTGCTAACCCTAGCCAATTAGAATGTACTAATATGATTGACACTCATATAAGCTAATTGTATCTGGGATGACCTAACTATTCCTGAAACTCCCCTTAGCTGTGTATAAAAGAGCCTGCAAGCTTCTCTCAGGGTCGCCATTTTGCCTTTGAGTGAGATGTGTGGCCCCAGCATGCTGGTACCATTATTATCAAGATAATAAACACTCTTGTTGATTGCATATGTGGATGGTGGTCTTTTGTGGGACTTCTCTAGGACCATAACAAGTTTGTTTATTTATGCTGGAGATTGAACTCAAGGCCTCCTTGATGCTAGGAGTATTTTATTTTTAATTGTTTTTACTGCAGCTATCTACAGTATGGACCTGATAATATGGTACACATAGAGAAATAGTTACTATACTTAAATAACACTTTCATCTACTGAAGGATTCATTGATGAATCAATTTTAGTGAAAAGTGAGAAAAAGCATATTTTACATACACATGATACATAAAGACTGTTCAGAGTCAACACACTAGTTATCTACGATAAGATATATTTGTTCTTACAGAAATGACCAATAATCTTTTGTAATGTCAGTCAGTTGTGGTCTCTTCTCTAATAATGATTATTGTCAATACAGACATTAGTCATTGTGTGGTTTCCATGATACAAAAACTGCATGCTTTCTTTTAGCTAAATAATTGTTTTCTGGGGCTCAGCCACATTGTAATCAGGAAGCCCCTTCTTGGGGAAACACACTTGGTACTTTCCAGTAGGACTCAGCTCCTGTGAGTCCTTGTGGAAACACACATACCTGGAATCTTGTTTCCTGGCAAGTAGGAAGCCCTGCTGGAGTGGATGGTAATTTGGTGGGTGCTGGGTGCTAGGTGTACATGTGTCTGGGCCACATGTCTTCACAGGCCATGATGCTGGAACCATGGGGAAAGGCAGCTGATCAGGAAGCCAGGAAGAGGGTCGCCAAGCCCAGCTTGTGAAGGCAGCTAGGATTCTCATCCTGCCCTTTTCTGAAATGTGACAAATAATGGTCTTAGTTCCTATCCTATTGAAGAAAATGGTGTGAGGTCCTCGGACATGGCTGGCCTGAATCTTAGAATCTCTTAGTTCTGAGGTAATTTTAGTATTGCTTCCCAAGGACAAGATCAAAAGTATAAGCCTGGTTATGGGAAGTGTTTCATTTCTAAACACTTGAAATTTTTTTCTTGTTTTTGTTGTGTGTGTGTGTGTGTTGTGTATTTATACTTGTGTGTCCACATCTGTACACACAAGTACATGTATAGGGACCAAATGTCAACATGAAGTATCTTTTGCTAATTCTTCCCCATCTTTCCTTTTTAATACCTCTCATTCATCCCCACAGCTCCCAGTTTGCCTAGAATGGCTGACCTTCACACTTTGGGGATTGACCTGGCCCTCCCCTTCTGTTACAGTTTCCTCTGAGATCAAAACATTCCATCCTGCAGGAAGTTCCTTAAGCACGAAGGTAAACAACTAAAAAAGGAAGTCCCTGAAACTGACCAGATTCACTAGCCCCCCACCCTGCCAGAGTAAGCAATAAAAGTTGAGAGTCCCTCTCAGATGTGAAAGAAGCTGAGTTGCAAAGACATTCACAGGAGAAAAGTTGAGAGACCAGACCAGCTGCTGTGAAGAGGTTCAGACCAACTGAGTCACCTGGAAAGGACACTGTCCCACCTGTTGTGCTGCCTGCAGACTGTGCAGTATGCTCCAGGTCTGTGAACTGATACCCACGCTGTGGTGGGCTGTGGCGATACAGCTGTCTTTGAGTCATTTCTGCTCCTGTCAGTAACCTCTCACCCATATTCCTATAAGTAGCCCCAACAAAACTCATGGGTTCACCAAGGTCGTCTGGTGTACGTTCCCTATTTGGGGGGATTGATGTGTGTGTTGAGTCTCACCAGTGAAAGTTTTGTCACATACTACTACCACCCACACTAGCTCTGCATTTTCAGGGGTTCTAGAATATTCAGGGCAATCTTTGGCATTAAAACACACTTTTTACTTTTTGATAATCCCATGTCTGTTGCTGGAGGGGGTGAGAAGGTACAGTGTCAATAACACAGACACCAGGAGTCAGATAAAGGCAAACAGCAGACTCTTTTATTCCGAAATGGGGAACGCCTTATATACCCTCCTCCCAGTACCCAGGATGTGTTCTGATCTGGTGGTATTTAGTGGTCGTCCCTCATTGGCTGGGCATGATCAGGATCTCTGGGTGCCTGCTGCTAGGTTGGCTCATAAGGAAGTACGTCATGTGCATGCTTTGGCAACTGGCTTGAGCCAATTTCCTTGACCCTATGAGCCTGTCCTACTACACATGCCCAGGCATTGTTAAAGTTTAGCTATTATTTTTTCTTTTCTTTTCTTTTCTTTTTTTTTTTTTTTTTTTTTGGTTTTTCAAGACAGGGTTTCTCTGTGTAGCTTTGCGCCTGTCCTGGAACTCACTCTGTAGCCCAGGCTGGCCTCGAACTCACAGAGATCCGCCTGCCTCTGCCTCCCGAGTGCTGGGATTAAAGGCGTGCGCCACCACCGCCCAGCTTGGCTATTATTTTCAATGAAAGGCAATGGCCTCCCCTTTAATAAGTAGGTCAAAAGGCAAAAATACATTCTAAAAAACTAGCAATCTAGCTATGACAATAGTAGATGAAGAAAGCAATCCACAGGACCCACATAGCATATCCTGTATGAACAGTCACCTCCAGGATCAGGGTTAAGGTGAGTGCAGTAGACAAGAAAGTGACCTCCTACACTCATCTTGAGCCCTTCAGACAGCACCTTTTCTTGATAGCCTTGTTCTCCACCAGGTTCTATCAGTCAAAACCTCTGATCCCCATGGGACATGACCGGAGCTTGCTAGGAATTATCAGAGAGTGCCTAGTAGAAGAAGGAGCAATCTCAGGGGAGGCACCCAAAACATTGGCCATCTTTTGTCATCAGGTCCCCTGGAGAATGTCTAGATCCCTTGTTGGCAGCAGAGTTTTCTTTCAAAAAGCTTACAAAGAAGAGAATTAAGGACACTTCCAGCCTTAGATCTAGAAAGCATGTCTAATCATCTGTTTCCATGAACCTTGAAAAACCATGCACTCACCTGGGCACACACTGTTCTTCAGGCTGGGTGGGACAGCTCCCAGGTGGAGTTGCACAGACACACCCTATAAAGTCTTTTTCCCCTCCCCCCAGTCTTTCCTCAACAGGAAGCCCAGCAGCTGTGATCATTAATCCTTAGTGCCAACAGGAACCATTCTTCTGTGTCTAAATCCAACCTAAATTACATGACTTTTCTCTAAAAGCATATTCAGACCCTCAGTTTCTAACCATGGCTTCACTCAAGACTGGGAGAGGAGCTAGAAAGAGCTGGGGCTAGTCTTACACATGCCTGGTGTTGTCATTTATTTTGGTAGATATCTCCATCTTGGCTTTTCCACCAAAGAGAGGATGTTTGAATCTAACACATGGCAACATTCTCTGCTTCCTGAGTCAATGTGGAGGTGAACAAGTTACTTCTGGGACTAACACCCAGCAGCAAAGCTTGGCCCTAAAAAAATCTCACTTAGAGTATTCTTTCCACATGTATTATACTAGAACTGGAGCTCACAAACTTTAGAAATCGCCTGAGCTGGGCATAGTGGCTCATGCCTGTAACCCAAGCATTCAATAGGCTGTAGTAGAAAGATGTCTAGTTAGAGGCCAGTGTGGGCTACCTAGCAGGACTGATTGCCTCAAAAAACAACACAAAACAAGCTGGGTTTTTAAAACATACTTTTAATCCCAGCACTCAGGAGAAGGAGGAGGGTAGATTTCTGATTTTGAGGCCAGCCTGGTCTACACAGTGAGTTCTAGAACAGTCAGGGCTATATAGAAACCCTGTCTCAAAACCAAAACCAAACCAAAACAAAAATAACCAAAACCAACCCAGAATCACCTCCAGTAATAGCATGGAGCCTTAGCTTAGTAGTTCTCAAAATGGGTTCCTGGGGCTACACAAGTACCAGCATCGTCATTGCAGCTGTGAGAGAGGCTGAAGAGGAGTGACTGGGGTGTTGGTAGGTAGCCTTGGTAGGATTTGGTATTTCATGGACTGCAGGGTGTCACTGAGAGAATCCTGGGATTGATGGTAAGAGTGACATGGAGTGGGAAACATGCTCCAGAGAGTGTCTTATCACCAAGCATCTAGTCTCCACCTCAGAAAGTTTTAAGAGACTATAAACACTCAGGGAATTTGACCTTCTGTGACCTAGGACTGCAGGACTTCTCCTACACAGAAACCAAATACATCAAATGCAGAGCCTCTGAGTTCCTGTCCCACAAGGACGGAGGAAATCTCAATCCTTGCTAAATCATGACAAAATTGAAGAGGTCTAAAAAGTTCGGGGAAGAGCCTTCCATCACCGCTATGCACCTTCTTTTCTAAGTTCACGTGGTCGGTCACCTGGAGACTGCATGAAGACTCCTGTGTCAAATGGAGCCTAAAGTTTGTAGCCCACTCTTCACTCAGGTGATACTTCATCTCACCATTCACTCAGGTGACATTGTTTTTTTTAGAAACTAGAAGATTACCTCTAGACACAGCTTATGATGTCTGTCATTTCCACACTTTTTACCGGCTGACAACAAATAAACAAATAAACCTAGAAAGCAACTCTACATGAATGCTGAAAAGAAAGAGAATGAAGGCACATGTGCAACAAATTTGCCTATGTGTCTTGGAAAAACTAAAACTTATAAAACTAATGCCACTCATTTTAGGGTATCTATGTACTGACTATGTTAGAAATAGTTCATATGCAACCAGTGCAAAATATTATTAGCAAGATATTTTGTACTTTTTACATAGTAGTCTTTGACATTTCAGTATCAAATATTTTTTTAAAAAAAGATTTTTTATGTGTATGAGAGTTTTGCCTACATGTATACATTCATAAAGTCCCATGGAGCCAGAACTCCTAGAACTGGAGCTAAAAGGAGCTGTGAGCTGCCATGTGGGTGCTGGGAACTGAACTCCAACCCTCTTCAAGAAGCAAATGCTCTTAACCACTGAGCCACCTATCCAGGTCCTCATTATATATCTTTTACTTGTAACACATCTCAGTTCAGACTAGCCGAATGTCAAGTGCTCAGGAACCACACTTGGTAGGTGATAGCACCAGTGTGTGCCAGACAGAGTGGGTAAGCACTGGTGAAGGGTCAGGTCTGATGCTGCAAGATTCCACATGCAAGATGTGTAAGGTCAGGAACTATGTCCGAAGACTAAAACAGCTAATATAACAGTACGTGTGTACAGTGCTTACCTGGAGCAAGAGCTAGTCCAGAGAGTAGCTAGTAAGTCACCTCACTGAAGCAACAGCCAATAATGCAATGCTGTCACTCCATTTCATAGGGGGTCCTGACTTCCAGTCCTCCCACATCTTGTTCCAAATTCAGAACTTTTAAGCTATGGCACATAGGGTTTCTCAGGGTAGCTTGGCTTCTGAGTAGCATTGCAGTCTCATCTATAGAATGAAAATAAAGGTAATCCCATGCTCATACACCAAGATGCTTGTGACATGTCAGTGATGTGGAAAGCAATGCAGAGTTAGCACATGACATGGGGAGTGACACACAGGACGAACACACGTCTCGGGAGGGAGACAGTGCCTGTGCTCAACAGAGGCATCCTGCAGTCCCCAGGAGCCCGTGGAGTATGACAGACAGCAGGGGAGTGAGAGCTAAGTCTGAAGCAAGAGAAAGAGCTGTGAGCAGGGCTTCAGTCTCCCCACAGACCCCCAGCCGTGTACTCTACAAAGCAAGGAAGCATCGCTTTCCTTGCACCAATACGATGGAGGTCATTTCACACTAGCAGTTTGGCTGGACTTGACATATTAGATGGACAAAATCCATCACACTGTCATCCCTCGGCCCTGACCAGAACAGTTACATTTATGCTACACACAGGGAAGTCTTGTGACGAGTTCTGTGATTATAAATCAGACATTTGTGTTCTTTGGCAAATCTCTTACCTTCTCTGGGTTGCTCTGGGTATAAAATAAAATGTATGAATTGAATATCCCTTAGATTTCTCCCAGTGAGGGAACTATACATATGCTTAATGCTTTATTTACACACAAAAATAGAAGAACGAGCTGCTCTTAAGATATCTTTACATGGATTCAGGTCTGGTCCATAATCACCACCACGGACACCTGCATCATTCCTGGTTTGAGAGCATCCTCAGACAACACGATGGTGCTGAGCTCACAGTTCCAGGCTGGCTCTGGACCTGTTCTTCACAGTCCCAGGAAAGCACCTGTAGGGACTCATAAGACCTTTTTTTTCCTCTTCATTCTGTGGTCATGAACTTCCATTGAAACTGATCAGTGTTTTTACATGGATATTGATGACTCTGGTACCTTTAATACAATGAACAGTTTAATCTTTTCATAGATTAAAATGGAAGTAAATAAAAATTCTTACAGATTTATAAAGTGCTCAGATTGTCACTAAGAAGGAAATTTCCACATTTTTCTTCAAGCCCAACTTTAACTTTGCCTGTTTTCCATGCAAACATTCTAATACTTTCTACCATTAAAAGCCAGAATAATGTAGTGCTATTGTGTTCACTCGGCCTCTCCTCCTTCACTCTCAGATAAACAGTGTTTACACTACATGGGGTCTTTTTCTTTTCTCTTTCCCTCCCTCCCTTCCTCCCTCCCTCCCTCCCTCCCTCCCTCCCTCCCTCCCTCTCCTCTTTTCTTTCTTCCTTTTCGTTGGCATGCTGAGGCCCGACCCCAGGCCTAGTGTGTACTAGATAGGCACTCTACCACTAAGCAATAGTCCCTGCCTACCATTCACATTTGAATGGCTATCATGGACATACAATGCTGATATAAGAAACTACCAACAGGACTTCTCTAGAAGGTGACACTTTGCTTGAGGTGAGGTATGGAACTCTGGCACATACTTACCATTAGAGCACTCTCCCAGGAGGTCAAGGCAGGATGCTGGATAGTTTGAGGCCAGACCAGGTTACATGAGTGAGTTCAAGGTAAATACAGGCAACATAATGAAATTCTCTCTCTCCCTCTCTCTTTCTCATACACACACAGAGAGTTATGAAGTTAGGCAGCAAGTGTCAGCTGTATGACCTTGGGCAAGTTCATACTGAAGAACCCCAGTTTTCCCATCTGTAAAATAGGGCAAGAATTTGCTTTCTCACAAGGATGTAGTAAGGACTAGGCACTGTAGCAGTGATTAGAAGCTGTTATCAGAAGAAAGATAAAAATCAGGGTCTGAGATGTCAGAACAACTCAATTAAAAGCAAGAGAGATTGGCCAAATCTTGGAGTTTGGATCAATAGGGAGGGATGGACAGTCCAGCAGAG